ACGGGATGTTGGAGAGGTGCAGGGTGGCGGAGGGCGGGAAGATGTTCTGGAAGTTCTTGGAGCCGGGTTTCTTGAAGCGGTGCAGTGGCGAGTTGCCGTAGTCCTTGGTCAGGCCCTGGTCCTCCTGGCCCTCTCGGGGCAGCTGCACGTTCTGGTGCTTGGACAGCGTGATGCGCACGGGCTTCCCGTGCAGCTTGTGTCCGTTCAGGTGGCTCATGGCTGTGGGCGGGCAGAGGGCAGGGGCTGTTGAAGGTGGGGGCCCAACCCCAGCCCCAGCCTCCCCACAGGCCCCCCACGAGGACTCACCCAGCTGGGCCTGGCTGCCATCGGCCATCTGCACCAGGGCGTTCTCCTTCTTATTGAACAGGACCTTCACGCGCTGCACGTCCCCGTACACGCCTTCAAAAACCCGACAGGGGCCTGAGTGCCGGGGGGAGGGGGGACGGGCCGGCCGGTCTCCCCGAAGCACCCCCAACCCCCACACCCGCCAGGCTCCCATCACTCTGCCCTGGGGGACCTGTGGCCACAGGGCACCTCTCAAGAGCTGAGGTCAGCCACAGTGACCCCAGGCCGGGGGTGCGCCACCAAGGGGCAGCCACCTTCCCCGCCCCCAGCACAGGCCACGTAGGACGGCATGCGGGGACCCCAGGAGCTGCACGCGCACACGGCCACACGCACACCGCGCCAGTGCCAGGCTGAGCCAGTGCCACCTCACAGTACACTCGGGGAGAGGAAGTGGGAACGATAACATACCGAAGAGAATAAAGAGGCTTTGGGGCGTGACTCTCTAGAGACAGCAGAGCAAGGCAGCGGAGGGACAGGGAGAGGGAGAGTCAGGGGGAGCGAGTTGCGGCCGTCCACCACGAGGAAGGCGGTCCCCGCAGGCGTGCGGCATGGTTGATGGATGATGGAGTTGTCAAGGTGGTTAATATTCAAGGGCAGGTTGGTTTCCGGAGAGCAGGGTTTGAGGGGGAATTTGGTTTGTTTGTTTGTTTATTTATGTTTTGTTTGTTTCAAGCAACAACAGGAAGCAGAAGTACCGTGCAGTCAGTTGGCAAAGAAATTCCGGATCAGGGCAAGAAAAAAAACCGGGAGAGGGGAAGGGGAGAAAAGAAAAAAAAGTAGCAAAAACACAGGTCAGTAAAACATAAGAAAATAACTATCTTGTCCCCTCAGCCACGGTCTAGGCACACGCTGCAGTCGGCTCACCTCGCGGCCTGCGGTGGCACAGTGGGCAACCTGCTCTGGCTGGCAGGAGGCCCCGCCCCCCACCCCGTTCCTGCCCCCGTCGGTCCGCGAGGTGAGGCGGTGTTAGTGCAGCGCTGGCCTGCCAGCGCCCCGTCCCCCACCGAGGGGCTGGCCTGCTCTGCCCGCAGCCTGGGAAGAAGCAGTAGTTGTAGGCAGACAGGAGGACAGACTGAAACGCTGACTTAACGGTCATCCCGTGAATCCAGAGGGAAGGATCCCAGAGCAGTTCACTCATCTGAGTGCCCCACTCCCC